GTCTTTCACACACACAACAAAGCACACTCTCTCTCTCTCTCTATATATTTTTTGACTGTATTGTTAATTAAAGGTTTCAGCTGTTACCTTTCATTTGCCAGTTGGGAAGTTATGTTTGCCAGTTTATCACTTCTGTCCTCCATTACATTTCTATTTCCACACTCTAACTCTATATATAATATATCCATCTAAGTAATATATATAATTCATCTGAAATCCCACTGGACGAGTCTTTAACTATAAATACACCGAGAGTGATCACTTAGCTTCCCTATTCATTTTTCTGCATCTTGTGCAGTCTGAATATATCATAATTGTACGTATACAAAAATACGTATACAGATCGATCATAGTACGTATTAAGCAAGTATTGTACAAGAATTAGCAAAGTTGAAAGATGCAGAATTACGAGGTAGTAAAGGAGTTGGGATCTGGGAATTTTGGGGTGGCTAGGCTCATGCGCCACAAAGAAACCAAACAGCTTGTTGCCATGAAATACATTGAGCGTGGTCGTAAGGTAATTTCAACTGCTATTCTTAATTTCTGTATTTTATACGACAACAACAAACCCACCCAGTTTAATTCCACAAGTGTGATCTAGGGAAGTTAATGTGTACGCAAACCTTACCAGTTATCCTTATCTTGTGGAGGTAGATAGGCTATTTTCGATAGACCTCGGCTCAGGAAAAACATAGTCACAACATAGGAATTTCTGTATTTTATATTTGTAATTTTTCTGATCTTTCTCGTTTTGTTTCTTCATTATTTTTTTACTTTCATTCATATATGTTATATCTAAGAGCTTCCTTTTGTTGTGAGATTGTAGATTGATGAGAATGTGGCAAGAGAAATCATAAATCATAGATCACTCCGCCATCCAAATATAATTCGTTTTAAAGAGGTAAGTTTTCAATTAGATTGTAGATTGTAAGTTTTCTTATTTTCAAGATGACCGGTTTCACTTTATATGGAGAATTATATTGTAATTTTTTAATATATAAATTAACTCATAATAATGTAACTTTTTTGTTGTGTTTAGGTGGTTTTAACGCCAACCCACTTGGCCATAGTAATGGAGTATGCAGCTGGTGGAGAGCTCTTTGAACGGATCTGCCAAGCTGGTCGATTTAGTGAAGCTGAGGTTAATCATCATTAATAAAAACTTAATCCGTTTTACCTGCGTGGATAAATAAATTAATAATTTTTTACTTTTTCAATTTGTTGTATATCTATTATCTACCTCTTTTTTTTTTTGTTTTTTTTTGTTTTTGTACAATATTCTCTTGAAGATTTAAATTGGGAAACTATGGGGAGGGGAGAATATGCACTTAAAAACAAAAACCTTGGAAATACATTGACGGCCAAAAATGTTCATGTGTCCTTATTTTTCGTTTTGGCATAACGTGCTGATATGTACTTTTTTGTTTTGTTTCTTCAATTATTCTCTTCTTGATTTTATAGATTTTTTTAAGTCCTGTTTTTTCGATCAATTACAATTTTTTTCTTACATTTGTATTTCAGGCTCGGTACTTTTTTCAACAGTTGATCTGTGGAGTCCACTACTGCCACAGCATGGTAATATGATTTTTCCTTCAAGAAATATTTAGATCACGAAATAAAATGAGAATCGTGTCAGTACGATTTTGCACTTACGCGATACATAAAAAGCTTTTTATATTTCTTAATTGATTTATGTATCGGATTCCATTCACTTCATGGTTAGAATTAACCTTAACAGTCTAGACATGTAATTTGATTATTATACTTATTTTTAGACGGTAAAATACAATTTTGCAACAATATGAGCTTTATCTTTTTTGTTTTTCCCTAGAACTGTTTCTTTGGAAATATTTATACATAGAATTCATTAAAAAAGAAAATGTAATTCTCCGAAATTTTAAGTGGGAGAAATGATTATGGATATGATTTTCTTTTATTTTTTTTTAATAAATTTTAATGGGTTTTATTTGAGTATTTGGGGATTTTACAGCAAATATGCCACAGAGATTTGAAGTTGGAAAATACACTGTTAGATGGAAACCCAGCACCTCGCCTTAAAATTTGTGACTTTGGTTACTCCAAGGTATATTTATACAGTTTCTATTCCATTCCTTAAAATACTCTTAAATTTTTGTGATTATGAAGAATTGTTGTTTGCAGTCTTAACAATTGAAAGAATATTTTAGTATGTGTTCATCAGCTTCTAATAACTAATATTACAGGCATATTAATGCATTATCCTTTCATCAGCTTCTAAAAACTAATATTACAAGCATATTAATGAATTATCCTTTATTTATGACAGTCATCTGTGCTGCATTCACGACCCAAATCGACTGTTGGAACTCCAGCTTATATTGCACCAGAGGTTCTCTCTCGTCGAGAATATGATGGCAAGGTAACACATACCTTTTCTTTTTTACTTCAAGCATCTGGTGATCAGGGGCGGATTTAGGGGCGGAATAGGGTTCACCCGAACCTAGGGGTGTTTATAGTTCGGTTTGGATCGGTTTTTCCCTAAAAAGAAACCAAACCAACTAAGTCGGTTTTTCAAATATTGGAATCAAACCAAACCAATTGAATCATTTTTTCATCGATTCGGTTTATGTCGGTTTTTCGGTTTTTTCGGTTATTTATCGGGTTTTTTCTTAAATATGAGACATACACTACCAAATGCATATTCTAGCGACTATATTTTCAACGTAACACTATCAAATCAATTGCTCTTTGAGAAATGTATCATTTTCAAGATATATTGATGATAATTGAATCAAATGGTGAAGAAGAATTTAAGTACTCAATTAAATATCGAATATTTTTAACATGAAATAAATTCTTGTACTTAGTAAAAGAAAACTACCAATCAATCTAGAATGTAAAGGCAAAGAATTATATATTATAATAGCAAAGAACTAGACTAAAATACAAATGACTAATATGTATCATAAAAATATACATACATACATACATACATACATATATATATATATAATATATATATATAATAATAAATTTAAATAGCTACTTTTATAGTCGGTTTGGTTCGGATTTTTCGGTTATTTTTCTATTAGAATCAAAACCATACCAAATTTGATCGGTTTTTCAAATTCAAAACCAAAACCAAACCAAACCTAAAAAGTATTGGTTTTTTGTCGGTCTGGTTCAGTTTTCGGGTTTATGATCGCCCCTACCCGAACCTCTTCGTCGACAAATTACACTGTGTATATAAGACAAAATCTATTTTTATCTCTACATATTATGTTTTGAATCCCCGTGACACACCCCAAAAGCATAACTCAATGATCAAGGGGGTTCAAAATCTTTGTAAAGTCACTAGTTTAAATCTCACTGGCCACAAATCTCTTCTAATTTTTTTCTTTTGAACCCTTTTAGCGAAAAATTCTGCCTCCGCAACTGTTGATGATAGAAATTACTAACTCGACTAATTCAGCGTCAATTCATAGAATGCCCACCGTTCAAGGACTCCATTCCTAAAGTGTTCTTTTCTCCATCTCTGAAACAGCTTATAAAATTATGATAATTGAAATATAAAGATATATAAACAACATCAATTGGTGAAATCCACAAGCGCTAGAATCATATGTATCTCTTTTTTAATCCTATAAGTAAATGTATGTTGAAGCAATGCAAGTTGTCAAATGCACGTGTTAATGCCTTATTTCTACATAACAAAGCCCCCCTTTAAGCATGGTATAATTAAACTAGTATAAAGTTTGCATGTGACCATGTGGCTTCATGTTCGTTATGATTTGGAAATCTATATATTTTTAACTTATTTTCCTTTAAAGTTATAAACTTTTTGTGTGATTGAACTCTACTTTTAATTATTTTATGTGATGGTGACTTATAAAGTAAACATACACAATAGCATTATTGGACCTTATCCTTGAAGTTACAATTTTTTGCAACTTGTTAATTCAACATCTTATCTCATTTTATACCTACTTCCCTTTTAGCTAGGTTATTAAAATTATATTATACCAATTCTCCAATATTATAATTATTTGTGTTTGCTTTTTTAAGTTTTCTCTTTTCAAATTGTGTTTGTTTGGTATGGGGCGGTTTATTAGTCGGCAGATGTATGGTCATGTGGAGTGACTCTATATGTCATGTTGGTGGGAGCATATCCTTTTGAAGATCCAGATGATCCTAAGAATTTCAGAAAAACTATTTCAGTGAGTTTTGTTTTTCTTTTCTTTATATTAAAGCACTTATTAATTAGTCTATTTATTAACATTTTACACAAATAAATGGTGTTTTTTTTTCTTCTTATTTTTTTTTTTTTTGTAAATATTCTCTGCAGAAAATCATGGCTGGTCAATACAAAATCCCAGACTACGTGCACATATCTCAGGATTGCAAGCACCTTCTTTCTCGAATATTTGTTGCCAGTCCTATCAGGGTAATGATTCATCTAAATTATGCAAAATAATCACTACAATATCCATCATGAAATTTCAGACATGAAAAGGCAATTAACGAAATCCTTTTCATTAGAACATATAAACTATAATTTAAAATATAAAAAAAATCTCGGGAAAGTGTGTTTTGTTATGACCGAAGTCATTTTCTTTGAAAAATATTTAAGATCACTATACAAATTACCTCCCGGATTCACTATTTACTTTTCCCCGTCGGTATACATAAATTATATACTTATTATACATGGATTATATATATTGCATATCTACTGACTATTTTTAATTTAAGCTGTTGGATGAATGACTATTTAGGTTAATTCTTCAAAATATTTCCTGAAAATGTGTTTGATGGAAAATATTTTCCTCAAACAAAAATTAAGTGTTTGGATGGTGGTTGAAAAAAAATTTATATATATATATATATATATATATATATATATATATATATATATATATATATATATATNGATTTGAGAAGGAAGGATATTTTGGAAGGTTGAAGCTTACTGGGGGGAGGTAAATATCTTGCATGTCCTTGTAAGAGAAAATTCTCTCCATGGGTGACCTATTTACTACTTTTTGCTCGATTAAGGAACCAGGTATATGCGAGGTGACGTGTGTATATGTGTAGCTAGGTTTTTGACCATATATAGTGGAGTTGGATTAAGTTATCTCTTTGTTTTGATTATGTAACGTTATTATCCACGTTACAGTTGATTCTATGACAACTTGAAAATTCTTGATTGTGATTTTGGAGCATGCTTAGGGTTATGACTTGTAGAATTGGGCACAAGGATTGTTTTGCCATGTTGAGCTTTATTGTAACTCTGTAGCCATACACTTGTATTATTTGATCCATGATTTGGGGATTTCTATGGCTTAAATGACTCTTGTTAAATAATATGATAAAACATATGCATGCTTAAATAGCGTATTGAGCTGTTGTGATAAATTGAATTAATGATTAGCCATAGTCATATTTTTCCCATATGAGCTTTTATCCGCATTCTTATTGTGATGTCATTGCTTCTTTATTTATTATTTCATACATTTATCCATGAGTGGGGAGTTGGTTATAACGGAAATGGCACTACAGACACGATGAGCAGAAATTGATTGTTGGATATTGATCACTAATTGTAATATAATCAACGCTTGGATATGGATCCGTCCTTCAAGAGTAAGGCGATAACCCATATTACCTTGATCCATGTCAGTATAGGCACCCGGGAATTTTGGTGCTTCTCTGGATGCATGGCCGATGTCGGGCACATGGTTTTATGTTTGTGAGGTGTTGAGAAAGGATCATGAGCATATACATATACATATATATATATACATACATATATATATATATATATATATATATATATATATATATATATATGTATGTATATATATATATGTATGTATATATATATATATGTTTAGTTGAATATGAAGAGGTTTCATCAGTACTCCGATTTCTTTGGGGCTTTTCACATATTTGGCCCGTCAGGCAAATAATAATTATAGCATATATATATATATATATATATATATATATATATCTATATATA